ATATATATATTTTTTACATTTTGTTTTAGTCCCAAAAATGTATTTAGACCATGGTTAACTTAACCATGGTCAGCAACCGCGTCACCGTCGGCTCAAGTTGGCCAATAACCCGGCCACCGATTTTGTACGCAATAAACCATATTCTTCTTTAATTTCTCCGTCGCTTTTTCTCGACGAGATTGGGTATCGAATTCCGTTGAAAAGCTTCGTCGTCAACGGGCAGCCGGCGTATTGACGGTCTTTTCCGATTCAGTAAGTTTTCGATTCGTGAGTGTTCTCTAAGTGTTTGACCACTATTTTCTGGCTTGAATTACGATTTCATACAAATGCATGAATAAGTTAATTTTCTTCTCTAGTTTCTTGAGATTTCTTCTGTCGATTCTTCATTTACGTCCTATTCCTTCAGTTCCGATTCTGTTTTTTTAAACGATCCAGGTAGTATGAACTTTGGTGTCTTTTGTCTCTTTGCTATGTTTTCCCTTCGTTCTGAATTCCTCCTACGACTCATCTGTGCTTTAGTCTGAATCTAAACTAGTATGGAGCTTATTAGTTCTCTTGTCATGTCGTGATTCGATTTTTTTTTTTTTCATTTTCCCCCTTTCCTTTCGATTTTGAATCTCGGATTACGATTTTCTTCTGTTTTATACGATTAAACGATAGAAACGGACGATTCGACGAAACTGGAGACAGAAACACGCTTTGAATCATCCGCGGTGCGAGTTTAGCAACATTTCTGTTAATTTTAGTTGTGGTTAGGTGGTAAATTGGCGTAGTTCTCGAATCAAAACGCATTACCCCCTTCATTCCTATGATAAATTTGAGGTATCGATTTGGTTGCTGGAGGGACGACTATCGAGAATCTCCATTGATTAATTAATTTGTTTACTTTTCTCACCTTTTCTTTCACAAGATGATAATAATATATATATCCTTCAAAGGGTAAGATTAATTACTGAAGTTATACAATGAGTCTTAATGTGCTGATTTAGAAGTTTAAGCATGGTCCCTTTCTTTTCATGGAGTGGAGTTACGGATTATTCAGGACAAAAAACCATTGGTTTCAGGTTTTAATTGCTTATTTCATCATCGCCTTCTTTGTTGCCAGATAATATGGTAAATCTTTTTTTTTTTTTTTTATCCCCCCTCCTTTGTATTTCTAATTGGTTGAAAGTAAAATAAGTTCACTCAGACTAGTTAAATAAACTGTATTCCACTTTATTTGAAATAAATGTCAAATCTATCTGAAATCTATTGACTTCTGGTATTGAAATGCAGCAGAACAATTTCGAGTTGTGTTGTTGGATGAGAAAGGTTGCTTAAAATTTGAGACTAAATGACTGAGATGGATTCTGACAATGACTTCACATTTTGTCAGGCAAGTATAATTTTTATGCTATAAAATTAGGTTATAAGTTTTCAATTCAATGACATGTTTCCTTTTTTCTATCAATTCGTCTTCTACAGTTGTCATAATGTTTGACATCCAACCTAAGTTATATTACTATTACTGTTATATGAATATATTAGTAGGTGGGTTTACCTGAAAAAGATGATAAAGAGGCAAAGGATCTTGCATATGACATAGGTGATATTACCTTAAGGGATGAATTGACAAATGGCGCCGTCAGTAGGACGAATGTCATTTGGGATGATAATTTGTCAAATGATATCACTTCCAGAAAGCAGGCAACAGTGGGTTCCTTGCATTTCAATGTTACTGATATGTCGTCTGCAAAACAATCAAGCACACAGTCAACAGAAAAGGTGCCAAAAGATGCTGAGAAAGTTGCGAAGGTTTCAGGAAAACAAGGGACTGCTGGGCGTAGGCCTGCAACTCGAACAAAGGTTCCTTTTGAAAAGGGGTATAGCCAAATGGATTGGCTTAAGCTTACTCGAACCCATCCTGATCTTGCAGGTATTTGTGGTGTTATGAAACTCTTAGAATTTGATCTAAGAATCTTATTGAACTAAAGTATGTAACGATTTAGTTCTTGTACTTTCAAATTTGGTACAATTTAATCCCTATAGTAAAAAATTCTATCAAAATTAAGTTTATGTAATCACTTAGTCTTTTAGTTTATAGACACACTTAGTTTCTAGTGAGTCTATCCATCTATATATATTACAAATCCCATTAAACCTTAACAAATTGTAACATAGGATTCAATTTCTAGGAAATTGGCGGTACAAAGGCTGACTAGTAGAAACTAAAGTTCAAGGGACTGAAAGTGTTTTCTTAAACCTTAATCTTATGACCTTGGCACATATGTTGATGCTTGTTTGGGCTATTAGAGGATACAAATTGTTTGCAACTAGTTGCTTCTTGGCATGTTCAGGGTTCAGAAAAGCTTCTAAAGATCTGTAGTATCCAAATTATGAACTTCACGGAGGATCCACTTGTCATTTCCGTTTGTGTTTGTAACAATATTAATATGATAGTTATTATTTGTGTTGCAAAATAGGACAATTTTATTGTTTTCAACATTACTGGTAATTTAATGTTATAAATTCTTATCCCGAGAAATTAATGCAACTGATTTTCAACATTTGTTTTATAATTGTGAATTAGGATTGAAAGGCCAGTCAAATAAAAGGCTTATCCCTATGAGTGAAGTTAAAGAACATCAGACCGAGGGCTCAATGTGGACTGTTCTGAAAGGTCGTGTGTACAACTTATCTCCTTACATGAAGTTTCACCCTGGAGGTATGGGCATCCACAATTTTTCCGTTTAATTTTTTTCAGTGAATTTGTTATCCATCTGGTTGTAGTCAGTGGGTCTCTGAGGACCCTAGAGTTGGTAAAGTGCATGACTAGATTTGTAATGCATGTTATGGTGTCTTGTGTTCAAGAATTATCACTTTAGCGTATAACTTCTAATATTTTATGTTTAAGATGGGCCACAGTATCATGTTGTTAAATTCTGTGAAGGATGAATATTCTCCTTTATTCATGACCTTGGTTACTCATAAATACTAGCTTCTAGTCCTACTTATATGTTACTGGTCTACTCTCATGCATAACTTCTAGTTATTATTTGGGTTGAGATTCTTGCAATGCATGTTTTAACTGATGCTGAGACGCATTAGATTACATCATAGGCATTTTCTTTTGGGTAGACTTGAAGTATTTGACCTCTTGACAAACTTCTTTATCAGGTGCTGATATACTCATGAAAGCAGTGGGAAGAGATTGTACATCTTTATTCAGTATCCTTGGAATTTGGTTTAGTTTTTTTTTTTTTTGGTTTTAGTATCACTTCTTCCTCTATGGAATTCTACTGTTGCCACCTACACCTAGTTAATTTTCCATGCAATTTCAATTGGCTTTTATTTAATGAATCCTGAATTGGTGTCCAAAAGTTGTCCTTAAACAACCTTCAGATAAATACCACGCATGGGTGAATGCTGAATTTTTGTTGGAGAAGTGTTTGGTTGGCACTTTGGATAATAGTCATTGACAGTTTTATGGCATGTAGCCTTGACCATGTCTAGATGGTGTGTTGCATTGCACAAGTAGTCAAAGATTTGGTATCAGAATGTGTTGGGAACGAACTTACTTGAAGGTTCGAAGGTTCCGAGCAACGATAGTATGCACACTTGAATTTGATTTTCAATTAACTTCTAAGATATATTACTTATTCTTAAGCATAGAAAGTTGGGTATTTTATAGATATTGCAGGGCACAAACCAAATAAAAATCTTGACGGACAATGTTTATATCTATATATTATGACTATCCAAGATTCTGTTGTGCACCAGGACCAACTTTAGTCTAAAATATTTGGTTATCTTGATCTTGAAGTTCATAAGATGTTGATATTCTGGATTGGTAAACACTATACACTGAGATCTTGAGTCTTTTTCTCAACCTTTTGAGTTATTTCCAACCATATTGGTTGAAGATAAAAGGGGCGACACAATGTTTGATTTTGGAAAAAAAAAACAGTAGCATATCCCTCCATGACTTGAGCCTCCAGTTGTGGTATAGAATTTTTAGTTTTTAATCATTCCAATGTTTATGTAAGGAATTTGTTCCATGACTCATTTTGATTCTTTTCTTGTTGATTCAAAAAAGCAGTGAGTTCTTAACAGCACTAAGCCTTTTACATTAGCAATTTGCCTTCACATTGCTACAAGATTTCCTAGCCAACTTTCTTCGCAACCTCCAACCCTTTCCTTTTTCAAAAGTACCCAAACACTTGCCCCAAACGCCTATTATCATTACAGATTTATCTCGAATAACTCTTCATATGTTTTAAAAAAGAAATTTTAGGGGTTAAATAAACATTTTAAGCACTTGAAATTTCATTCCAAACTGTTTATTGATGTTGAAAGGAAATGCTTCAGACTTCCAATTGCACGATGAAACATTCAAAGGTGGTAAGATGAACGAACTTCAATTTCACTTTCTTCTCCAATAACATTTATAGCAATTTCATCATCATATTCATAGTCATTGCTTGTCCCAATCCATATCCATTCGGGGTCTCGAAGTTAGTTTTCTTTGACCAAAACAGGCTTCTTTTCTTTTTATGAAGATAAAATGGTTCTGTTACAATAATTGAAGCCGCTGCATGATCGGGAAGTCTACGCAATTAATACATATGTGTGCATGCTGTTCCCTTTCCTGTGCTTATAGTCTACAACTCACCAATGAAGTGGTTATAACCCACAGCCTTCCTATTGAAAACACTGATAATATATAAAGTACTGAGCTAACAATTTGGAAGTAAAGTGACAATAACAGTACAATAAAAGTTCAGACCTCTTGATCCTCATTCTCGGAAGACAACGTTGCAGAAAAATGTTGACGCTTCGGGCTGGGTGCTCGGGTACCTGTTAAAAGAGACTGATGCATCTCTGCTTCATATAAAAAGAGAGATGTGCATGAAACGTGTTTGTGAGAAATATAAGAAGTTTTCAACCTGATAAGAGGTGGTAGTCCAAAAGTTCATCTTCAGCTTTGAACAGACAGCTCCAGAACAATGCTTTGAGATAAATTTTGGATGAAAACCCGATTGAAAATTTTCTCGGATTTCTTTCATAGACGGAACTGTTTATACATGAACAAATGCAGTTGAAGTCGCTGTACAGACTTAAGTTAGCAGTCCAAAATAGAGGGAGGGGCAAAAACTTAGAAGGTAAAACCTAAAAGAACTAATACGCCAGATTGAAGATATATAGACCTATAAATTTGGCGTGCTTCGAGTTCGAACGACCCGAAACCACAAGGAGATAACAAGGCTAAAGAATCCCAGTTGATACTACACATCACCCTGGAATGTTCCGCTTTGTAGCTTCCATTTTCAAAAGAAGATCTTTAATATCTGCTTCCATCCTTACCTTCAAGCTCGAGTATTCTCGATGAGCTCTTTCTAGAGCCTGGAGTTCCTCGATTTTCTGCTTACGCACATCCTCAGCTTCAGTCAAACGCAACTTGGCAATTCTACTTGTGTATTCTTCATCTATTTTTTTGTTTTTTGCAATAGCAATGCGCTTTAAACCTTCTGCTTCTCTTCTAGCATCGTCAGCTCGAGCTTGAAACATTTTGGCCTCTGCAAGTTTTATTCTAACAATACTGTCCAATTCATCAAACAGAGGCTCCCTGTGAGAATTTATCTGCAATTCTGGCTCCATTACCCGTTTGTCGCTACGTTCATAATTCAAACTAGGAAGAGTAATGGCTGCTCTTTCCATTTGGGGAACTTTATCGGAATATACGGATTTCAACCATGGCGCTTCCAGACATGACCCTGAAACTCCGTTGTTGCTTTTTGATGGATCCTTCCCAGACGGTATCGGTGTCTTGCCGAGCTTGGAAGAATCAGCAGCATCTGTAGCCACATATCACAAAAAGGTAGAAATTAGCAACATTCCCATTCACACCAACAGCACTACTAGACACTAATTCAAATCTCAGCAAGTCATAGCTAAATGAACTTAGAAGTCATATAGTAGTCAAATCAAGTCAGGATTTGGAATCCGGATTCGGCACCTAATGGCCCCAACATTCCCCTACATCTCTCGTGACATGGTCACATTACTTACTCCTCGCTTTTAAGAGTGGAAACTATCTCTGTAGACCAATACGAGTCATTCCAACATGCTTTATCTTCGCTCACATGCATCCATGCATCCTAGAAAAATTCTCAAGTCACCCAACATAGAATTGCTTCGAGCAAAACAAGTTACACTATACCGTTCTTATGATTGAGTCACCAACAAGGAAAATGCACCTTGTTGGTGTAGGTAGTGACTTTCAATCTTCTAAGTCTTTCTTAGTCATCTTATCTTCAAGATTGCTCTCGTTCAAATGGGGTCTCGATTTATTCATAGCACCCATCATTTACTCGGGTGTCACATGCCCATTAGCTTCCTTCTTGGTTCGTCCCCAAACCCCATCTTACTAGAGAAGGTGCCACATTGATACCATTTATGTAACGACCCATCCTAGGATTCGAAATCCAAATTTGGCACTTGATGGGCCCAACATTTTCCTGCTTCTTGCGATATGCTCATGTTACTTACTCCTCGCTTTAAGAGTGAGAACTATCCCCACAGACCAACATGAGTCCTTCCAACATGCTTTGTCCTCACTCACATGCATCCTAGACAAATTTTTAGGAGCTCACCTAACATATAATTACTCCAAGCAAAGCACGCTTAACTATGGAGTTTCTATGATTGAGCCACTGTAAAGAAAGGTGCACCTTGTTGGTATAGGCAATGGCTTTCAATTCTTTTAAGCCTTTTTAATCATCTTATCTTCAAGATCGCTCTAGTTCGGATGTGGTCTCAGTTCATTCATGTATCCTTCCTTTACCCGGGTGTCACATTAGCTAAGAGACGATCTTTGGCAAACAAAATAAAGGAATGATAAATTCTCGTGCTACCAACCAACCAACCAAGAATTCTACAGAATAAGACTATCATTTTCAATTGCAAGGCAATAAAAGAAGCCATAACATGCAAAGCGTAAACTTAGCTTACCAGAAACGAAAGTCATAATTTGAGCGTACACCTCTGGAAGATTTGATTTATTGGCCAATCTAGACAGCATACGGCCAGCAAGTTCATGAAGTTGTTTCCCTCTCACGTCCTTGCTAGCAGAAAAAATTCTTTTAACATATTCAAGTTCCCTAGAGAGAGGTTCAGCCGTCCAATCTTTTGCAAAATTTTGAAAAACCTCTTTCACAAACCCAAACATCTCTGAAGGGTGATCACAGGCAACACAATGAAACTGCATTTCGGTTGCTCCTCGGTCTCCCGTAGCACTCGGACCGTTTCTAATATAAGATTCACGTAAGGCACAATCCACATGGCACCAGTGAAGACAAACATCACACCCAACCCAACTACATGTATTAGACGCCATATCAAATTTTGAACAAACAAGACACATACAAGCACTGCAAAATCCATTTTTTGGACCACAAACTTTACAATCACACTCATCCACAGGCAAAAGATTCCTGCATGACATATTTCGGCATCTTAAGTTTAGAAATATCTCAGCTAAGTCGGTCGATCCAACGGAACTTACTTCCTTAAGGAAATCTGGTAGACCAGTTTTTAGGCCAACCAAGATTTCCAACTGTACTCGATGGCATTTAAGTAGCATATCGATAGTTATGTCCGATCTGTTTTGCAGTGCTTTCTGAATTGCACATAGACCACGTTTTTCGGCATTGGACATGATCCCAAAGATACTTGCTTTCAGAAATGCTCTGAACTGATCTGACATCTCAGTAAATTTCTTGGACATTTCATTCACAGGTTCAGTAATTAGTCTGGCCACTACTGTGTCTATAAAATCTGCACCTCCTGTCGGAAGCTTTTCCTGTTCCTTCAAACTACTAGTTCTATATAAACTACCACTGCTAGTCTCTTGCACAATCCTCTTCTTTTCCAAATTATTAGTTAATCCACCATCATGAGATCCTACTCTCAGTGCAGGCGATTTAACATCATCATTGGGCTTAGAATTTCCCATCAACTGTTTTTGAAAGCTTAATTGCCTATCCAGCCCACTCATATTTTTTGAGCTTTCTTCCTCACATGAATGAGGACCCAGAATGGGTTGAAGGCAGCTATTGCCATTCATCAAAATTCTTTGATATAAGGGAAGTTCCTTCGACTTAGTCTCATTCTGTGACTGTCCCACCCAAGCTCCTTGAGAAGCCTGATCAATGCCCTGAAATATCGGGCGACTTCCAACAGATTGTTCGAAGTTGTCCATTGAGTTCTGATTCAAAGAACAGCTTGGGTTGTGAAAGAAAGAGTGAGACCCTGAGAACGACATTGATGGGGCAAATCCATCTGAATTAGTGCAAAAAGTGTTGCTTAGGGACTGTACACTTCTTCCATGACTAGGGGAACTGGGCGCTGGAATCGAATCGCCAGTGGCACCAATAGGTAACAAAACATTTGGTAAGCCAAGAGAAAGATCAAGAGGCTCTAGCATAAGCTTTTCATCCCTTCGCTTACTATCACCAGATTCATCCACTTTCTCGAGTTTTCTCACCGGAGATCTTGTAAACAACTCAAACCCCCTAGTACTTGGGCCTTCCATATCATTGTACCTACAAATTTCAGCAGCTCCATGTTCTCTATCTGTCAAAGCTCCATCTTCTGCAGAATATGCTGCATGGGAGGTTGAAGGACTAACGGCCACACTTTTGCCTTTATCTCTAAAATTTTGAGTCAGTGCGTCGGTAGTTTTTGTTGTCTCTCCATCTGACATTTCTTTTTCTACCTCTTTATCTGATACATGAAAATCTCTGGTGTTCACTTCTTGATCGATGCCCTTGCTTTCCTTGCACTCGTTATCCAACTGAACTGAAGATTCTAACGAGTTCTTGTCATCCGTCCCATTATCTTGTTCTCTTTCACCAACCGAACTGTCTTCCAATTTGTTGCCTTCGTCAGCCACAACATCACGTTCTTCCTTGATACAATTCCCCAAATCAATAGATACATCCCGACTTTCTGATAAACCAGCGTCATCACTGCAAGCTTCTTTCTCTTTAGCCACATCCATGCTCTTATCCAACAACTCAGCCTCTACTACAACACTGCCTTTTTGAACTTGATCTAGATTCTCACTTTCAACCTCCCTCTGACCATTATCCGACTCCAAATGCTTTTCTTCTACCAATTTATCTTCACTCTTAGGAAACGATTCAGCTTCACATCCAGTTTCAGATTTGGGATCTGGTTCGGGTTCAAGATTTGGTTCAGGTTCAGATGCAAGTGCAGTTTCAGCCTCAGGGTCAGGTTCTAATTCTCCTTCCTCCATTTCACTGTTATTCCCACTATCGACCTGCAAGTCCTCCCCCTTTTTCACCTCAATACTCTTTGATTGCTCGCTCTCTGAGTCCTTCGACCTTGTCGGTGACTTGGACTTTGATTCTTGGGCTCTCACACCCCTCGAAGTCAAGCTAGGTGAGGTTCTTAATTTCGATTGCTCACTACTTGAATCTTTCGACAGAGATGGCGATTTCACATCTCTCAATCCCTTGGGAGAATTCCTCCCACTCCCTCTCTCTTCCAATCCTCCAACACCACCACCTCTGCTCCTTGTTCCCTCATCAACATCTTTATTCCAACTCCCAAATCGCCGCCATGAAGATACACTGCCTTCTCTCCTTGACCTGTCCCGCTCTGATCGAAATCCTTTAGGGCACTCCCTGCGCGACCCAGAGTAGCTTTCTGACCTATGAAGCCCAATACGATCCCCTCCACCGCCACCTCCAGTACTACCAGCATAACCCCTACTCTCTCCGCTTTCTCGAAATCGATCAAACCCTTTTCGCCGATCAAACCCCTCAAAATCATGATCTGATCGCTTACGCACCAGCCTCGACCCTTCCCGATCCTCATCCACCGATCGATCCCGATAATATCTACCAGACGAAGATGACAGATTCTTCCGAATAGCCTCGGATTTATGGTAAAAGGCTCGATGAGAAGACGAGGTCCGACTCAACACAGGATCCTTACCTGGATTTTTCTCGACGTACGAATCAAGATCGTCGCAAGATTTCAACCTCTTCATCACGAAATAAACGAACTACCAAATCAAACAAACAGCAACAACAAACTGGAAAAAGGATATCGAGCTACAAAATTCTAAACCTCCGCCGATAACCCATATCGAAATTCACGAAAATACCCCGAGAGCTAGGGCTTCAAAGAACCCTAGCTTTGAAACACAAGCGGCGGTATAAGAAAAGAGAGACGATGAAGAGAAGGAAAATAGAATCATAGAATCGGTTACCGGAAAAGGAAGGAGAAATGGAAGGCGGCTGTGGGTGGGGGAGATTGACCGGCGACGGCGAGGAAGAGGGATTTGAGAAGGGACAAAATGGGAATTCAGGAAAAAGGAGAATTCATCATCGGGTTTACAAGCTTAGTCCAAGTAGTCAACGCAGTATAAAAGCAAGAGAGACAGAGTTTGTTACGCAAAGTGCTCAAAATTTGCAGTTTTTTAAGTGTGAATATATATTTATATTTATTTATTTTTGTTAGATTAAAATTTTAGAGTGAATTTTAGTTCTCTAAATATAAGAATCAAATTTTTTAGCTTTTAAAATTATTTATTTTTATTTATTTCGCGTTAAATAAACATCTCTATTTATTATTATGTTCTCTTGACTGCATTATTCTCGAATTAAAAAAATGTTTTAGTTCTCCGCTAGTAATATTGATAAACTTTTTAAAATACAAAAATAAAAACTTTAAACAATTTATGCTTTTTCGAATGATATTTGTATTATTTTTAAATGCTTTAATATATTTTTTAAAATAATTTTACACGAATTTAGAAGAAAAAAATTAAAAAAAATATATCAATTTCTCAAAATTTTAGAGGAATAATCTTTGTTTTGGTGATTTGCCAGCTGAGGCGGAAGAGGAAAGAGAAGACGGAATCAGAGCCGTCCACGTGGCAAATCAGACGTCAGAAGAAAGATTGTCAGTATTGGGTTTGACGGTTTGACGCTTTCTTGAATGTTGTCACGTCGCTGCTTTCTGACTCTGACATTAAAAAATAATGGTTTTTTTTTTACTTCCGATTTCAGCCGTTGGATGCCGTCGGTCACAATATGCCACGTGTAGGGTAAAGGTGAGACCTACAGTCAAATGTCGGATGAATTTATTATAGGAAAAAGGATTACCAAATTCTCTCTCTTTTATTTTTGAATGGCTTGGCCTATTTCCAAAAGGTCAATGCCCTATTTTAACTCTATATATATATATATATATAATTAATTAAAAATTTTGAATTTAAATATTAAAGATAATAAATGCATGTATTTGGATAGGTATTATAATTAATATTAGAGTTAAATGTTAATCAAGTGATTTTCTCTCTTTCTCTTTCTGAAAAGAAAAAAAATATATAATCTCCGAATAAAAAAAAAAAGTAATTTTAGAAAGTAATTTTAGAGGTATACATGAGTCAGATTGAGTTGAGGTAATCTTTTGGGCCAACCCAAAAGTTCGAGTTGTTGGATTAATCGAGTTATGTCGAGTTGACTCGGCCATTTGCACACTGAACCCATATCCACCCAAACCAAATCGAGTCCAAAAAAGTTCAACCCTGCCCTTATAATTCGAGTGGAATCGAATTGAATGTAGATCCCTAAAATTAGTATACAACAAATATAATAAATAAGACAATTATAATGAAACGAAGCTTTTATATATACAAATTACAAGTGAGAAGAGAAGATTCAAACTTACAACCACAAACCGTATACAAATGTAAACATAACTCATCCAGCATAAAAATATACACCATTGACTAATAAAAGTTCAAATCTCTGAGTAAAAAAACCACATACTACATACCTTCAAAGTTTGTCAACCAGAATTCCATTAGGGCGATCGTTACACAATCTTAGAACTAAAACAAAGCATTATTGAAATTTAAATGATAAAAAGTGTAAGATTTTGAAACTAGGAGGAGGATTTAATTAATTAAAGGAAAGAGGGAGAAAAAATGCAAGGAGCCTCACCTCACCTCACCTACATAACACTACAGTATAATCCTATATTATTTATATCACAAATATCACAAATTTTTACAAATGGAACCTTCCTTACAAGCCCAAATCAAAGGCACACCACCTAAGAATGCTCTCTTTGGACAAATCCACGGACAGATAATGCCCAACCCCATCTAAAAACCTAATATCTATCCATCCAAATCTAGGGGTACCACCAATGGAGGGTTTCAATTTCAACAATCTGTGAGCGCAGCTGAAGGAAGCCAATGAAAAACACACTATTTGAGCATCGCCATGAAGAACGTGCCAGCAATGAATCAAATGGATAATATATACAAAAACAATGGCAAAAATTTGCACAAATATCTTCATTCAATGAGAAGATGAATGTAGTAGCAGCAGCAGACCTTGAAATTTTGTTGCTAGCTAGCTCGCTCACCTTGAAATTTATAGCCATTCCATTCATCGAAATATCCTAGAAGTGTCCCCTAAGTACTCATTTTCATATCCATTCCATGGTTTAACTTAACACCCAGCTGCCTTTAGAAAGTTATCATATGGGCTTGAAGGTGGTAGTTGAAAGAGGTGGGGATAGTGTTGGTACTCGATCGAACAAACCCTAGGAAGGATGTCTTTAGTGGAATGCCGGTACTTGGGAAAATCTGAGTCCATGAATGGGTTTTCGCTCTGCATTTCAATGAGATTTAAAGTTAGATTTTACAAGAAAGGGATGGTTATAACAGCATGCGAGCATGGCAGAAGTAATTGTGTGAACCCAGGTTGATATATGTTCCAAAACACGCAATAAAATCTCCATTTTCTAATGAGAATGCTTCAGTATCAATTTTTCTCTTTATCTAGAATTAAAATTGAAAGAAAAGTGGAGTATATAAGAAAGAACATACCGTATTTACACAGAAGTGAACTCGACGCCGTGAAGACTCTTCCTTTCTCTGATTGTTGCCACCATGGGTGGAAGTTTTAACTGGACGTTGCCCTTCACTTGGTTGAGAGTTCGTAAAATTTGATAAATTTTGCTGCTTTCCTTCTAAAAGGGCCTCACAGTTGCTAGCCATATCTTTGTAAGGCACATTTACCGGGAAGGAGCCTGATGTTCTTCCTACTTGATTTGATATGTTGGAAACCTGTAGCATACTCCGTTAATAGGAAAGATGCAACAATTGAACAAATTTTATTCTAATAACAAGCATTCTGATTGATATACTGTCAACATGAGGCAATCGAGAAAAAAAAGGGGTAGGGGAATGAAATATCCTCCGACTTAAGCTAGTGCACACCACTTGGAAACATGTAAAATGAAACTAAGAAATATATCCAGTATTAACTTTAGCCACAATAATAGATCTCAAGAGGCCACATAAAATCAAGCCTTTTATCATCCTGTCCTTGATCCCAATAGGGTAAAAATAACAACTATAATGGTGGAGCCACTTGATTCAACCACCAATCAACGAATATCTGATTGAACTCGGGTGTTTAATCCAATGAAATGGAGGGATTGTTAGGAATCACGACTCTCCACTATAGTATGATATTGTCCACGCTCAAATGGCTTTGCTTGGGGCTTCCCCAAAAGGCCTCATTCCAATAAAGATGTATTCTTTACTTATAAACCCATGATCATTCCTTAAATTAGCCAATGCGAGACTCCCTCCCAACAATCCTCAACGATCCTCCCCTTGAACAAAGTACACTATAGAGCCTCCCCTGAGACCTATGGAGCCCTCGAACAGCGTCCTCTTAATCGAGACTCGACTCCTTCTTTGGAGTCCTCAAACAAAGTACACCATTTGTTTGACACTTGAGTCACTTTTGACTACACCTTCGAGGCTCGTAACTTCTTTGTTCGAGATTTAAGGATTCTATTGACATGACTAAGTTAAGGGCATGACTCTAATATCATGTTAGGAATCACGACTCTCCACAATGGTATGATATCGTTGACTTTGAGCATAAGCTGTTATGGCTTTGCTTTGGGCTTCCCCAAAAGGTCTCTCATACCAATGGAGATGTATTCCTTACTTATAAACTCATGATCATTCCCTAAATTAGCCAATGTGAGACTCCCTCTCAACAATCCTCCATAGGGATGAGGCAGCAGATTATGAAAGAATGAAGTTTACATTTTTTTTCATTATATACTACACACGGTAGCCAAAGAGGTTTGTTGTCAATTTTCCTGGTCAGTAAAAAACATTCATATTTTCCCTTTCCTTTTAACTTGATCATCCTACTTTTGTAGTTCGCATCTGCACTGATTTTCAGTTGCATTTGTGGAGAACATATAAAAACTACATTTTCTTGTCTCACTTTATACAACTATATGAGCTCAACTGTATAGCGTTGTTAACTTACCAACTTCAAAAGTTCATCAGCACTCATGACAGTTGGACTTTCCAAGGGGTTCTCTATCTCAAGCTCATTCTGACTTTGAGGTTCGTCGCATAAGTTACCATTATCAACCTGCCAAGTAAGCCAAAATGTAAAGTGAAGTCCACAACCCGAAAATCAGTGCAACTATTGGGCAGGAAGATGAAAGAAGTGAAAGGAACCAAGTCAGATGTTTCTTCCTTCAAGGGTCCACATTTATATATTTCTCCTGGTGTGACAAATAACTGAGCTCCTAACGGACATGCATCATCTGGTAAAAAATCTTGGAGTAGTTGCTCTCTGATGGATGGTAGCTCATTCTGCTTTAAAGATCACACAAATTAGTTATATTTACTAGAAATAGAAACTGACAATCTACTTTGTGGTATACTGAAATAATGCTTACTTCTGACATATTTTCGCATGTTTGCAAAATTAGCTTAGCAAATGACGTTTTAGATTGGCTTTCACTTTGATCAACTGCTGAAAGTGACTTCGCAGCATTTTCATTGTCTTCTTTTGATCCATAAACCTGTTTGGGATTGTCTTGTCCTAAATTAACAACCTGTAACTTGCAATCTTCTACCAACTCTAGAAAGGGGTCAACCTGATAGAAGTAAAAATTCATATCAATTAGAAAAACATTTTCAATAAAGTTAAAATCTCTAACTTTCTTTGGATTCCACATTCTAGGCAGGACTAAAAAATAAATAAATAAATAAATAATAAAAATAAATTCTGAAATCAGATCAAGAACACACTTAGGCATCCAGAATAGAGAGATATGAACTAAAGACTAGACACATTTGTACTACGTATGAATCAGAGTGGCAATTTTTTTTTTTTTTTTTTTTTTTTACACCTACTGTTTCACTAGTAAGGGCAGCTTTAGCACGAGGGACAAGAGGCATGATGTTGTAAGCTTTTGATGTGAAGATGATCATCGATGTTGCCAACATAAAAAGGGATCTACGCTGTGATGGTCGCAACTGGCCTGCAATTTCGTAAAAGACTCTTTTAGTTGCAGAGTTGGCCTAATGAAGATCCACTCAAAGTGGACATATGACTGGTGATGAAAAATATCTTTCCATCCAAATACATTTGGAATGTCAATTTCATCTTTATACTTTTTCTAACTGAAGTGTTGTGGGCCAGTTAAACTCACTAGGTTACTAGCCTTTCCTCCACTCATATGTCAAGTAAATAAACTACAAAATTTTGTTTGATCCATTAAAGAAAAAATAGCTGTTTCTTTACAAAGATAAAGAAAGGGCCTTTATTTCTACAAGGATCCACATCTAGTATGACATCATTTTTATGGAGTCAGTTTTCAGGATTCCAAATGATCTAGGTTTTCAATTACGGGATCGGATCTTCAAATAAAAGGAAAAAATGATGAAAGATCTTACAACTTGACCCCCCAGTGTTTACCACAATATTTCGAAGTAATGAAAAAAACTGGTACGATAATTTTATAAGAGCTTGCTCGCAAAGTTTTGACATCATAATGAGGTACTAAACCTCGCTCATGCTTGAATGGAATTATAAATCTAGCAAGATTTGAGAAACTGAACAAATGAAATAAAACATTTCGTTAGTTCTAGAATGTTCCCTACCTCCAGAAAGGGAAATGCTCCGCAAGGAAAATGCAAGTTGGTAACTTCGAATGAGCGTCTCATGCCTTGAGCGCTGTGTATAAGGAAATAGAAAATTCATATAGATAGTTACAAAATTGTTAAGTATCAACTGGAACCGTAAAGAACTAAAGGATAAGCTGATATCTTAATGTAACATTTACTCATTAGGCTTTGTATGAGTTCACAAGAATTAAGAGAACTCTAAACTTAGCTGAATTCCTAGATGTATTTAGAATATGAGAAAATAAAAATGTATATCGTGGCTTGGTTGAAGCTCAGATGACCTTAAAAACTGTTAACTGAGTTCCTTTTTACTTAAAAATCATCCGTGTTTTCTGATTTTCTGTAATAGCTCAACTTAAGAGCACTCCACAATACTCTCACGAGATGTTTAATGCCCTACATAAATGCCCCTTGGGCTTCGTAAACCTCTCCCACCTACGCTAGATTGAGTTCAAAAGCCTCTTAGAGCCCTTTGCTACCAGAATGCAATCCATCGATCTAACCCCGTGGGATGAGACATCTATTATTACCTTTAATAATTAGAGGATGCACTTTTAGTTGTCTAAATCAGAAAGCAGTTGGCTGACTAGAATATGTTGGTTCTCTAAAGCTTTACATAGGGCTCAACTCAGAAAATTAACAATTCATAATTCATAACAAATATAAAATAGCATTTCATCAGAACTTTTAAGTTGTAATATACTGTGAAAACATTCGTTAAGTATCATGCTAAGCACGTATACTTTACTTGGTTTGATCATAAAGGATGTTTAATGAGGGTGTATGCACTAATTTGGAATCTTGCATTGACTCCATTGACTGAAGTTGAACATAAAAATTACATGTGGATCCAATTCCATGGTAAAATGAGGGGAGACATCAGTAAATCATCTAATGGGTAATTATTTGATTGTAAGACCTATTCATCAATCCTCAAAGTTCTCATCACCAGTTTCAGTCCACCAAGCAATGTTAGGAATCTAAGTTCGCAACTACAAGAGCCTCAAATCATAAATCACCATTTTTTTTATGCAATTCATCGAAAGGTTTTCAATTCTATAATTTACTTATGAATGCCCCTTTGAACTATCAAAAGGTTAGTTAGCTCGATAACAGTTCACAAAACCTATGAAATTTGTTCTTATTCACAAGAATAGTTGTCATTTCAAAAGAATTTTCTCTAACCCTCCCACCTTAAGTTTTCTTCTCAATTTTGAGCAATCCAGTAACTACCCATTTGAAACTCATGCTTATCATGCTAAACCATTGGATCAATACCTCATGAAAACAAGTTTGGATCCTAAATTTTAAATAATAAAGATAAAAGCACATTATAATGCCACATGAACAATTATATAAGAAGCAACTGTGACACATTCTTCTAAAAAACATAACTAACTGATGCAAACTAATAAATACTATCCATCAAAGTTGTAAAAAAAATCACTTTACACAATTGTAAAATATCATTCATACTTGATGCCTTTACAAGCCAAAATGTCTTTCAGATGTAAAATATCATTATCTTATTTTTTTTGTATTAGCTTTTATCATTAACATACCAATACACCATTAGCCATAATGATGATTGACACTGCCAGAGCTGTTATAATATTAGTCAACCCAAAATGAAGCTAACAATAGAAAAGAAATACGTTCTCTTAATTTCAGACCCCGAATATGAACTACATTACTTGATGCCTGCAGAATACTGATTCAATATATTGATTGAACAAACAACAATGAATTTACCTTAGTCCGTGCAAATAGCAACACCAGGCAGTAAGTATGAGCAATTGCTTCATAGTTTTCAGGTTTGTTTAGAGGAGAGATAGATTGTGCCCATATTGATGAGAGCAAAGTGGTAATCTGGCGGCTGCTTAGCCTAAGGAACATCGTCTGAAGATTTAATTCAACAAAATGAAAATATCAGGCAACCAAGAAACCATAATAAATAGAGGAATCCTTACTGAAACGGTTATAAAAACCAACATACATACCTGTTCCTTTTCTGCACTTCTCAAATCTTTCTCATTAGCAACCATACTAGGTGGATACATTTTCACACTATAAGCTCGGCTGTAACCTGACTTCAGTCTATTCAGCATAGTATTATTGTTGAGCTTTGGATCATCGTCATCTAAAATTGAATCTGTAGCTAGAATTGATGGATCCTTTTTTACAGTGTAAACTCGGCTGTAACTTGACTTCAGCCTGTTCAAAATGGACTCACTTTCAACCTTTGTAACCTGTTTAATAATAGGCTTTTCAGCCACCCTCAAGATGATGTTCTCTTCTACAGAATAATGCTCAACTTTCACTTTCTGAAAAAGTGCTGCAGAAGAGGAAAACACAGAAACAGTTCTTGACAGTGTCCTTTGAATATAAGCGGGCTTTGTGGAGTGGAGAATAGAAGCATGAGGACGTGGGCAGACAGATGATGGAACAAGAACAACAGAAAATATGCGGTGGGCACCAACTCTGGTTTCATGGTCTGAGCAAACCATTGCCAGTAGTAATTGATGAAATAATGCCTCAGGAAAAGCCTGCAACACATTTGTTAAAAGCTTAGAAGAAGGGAGAAAAGGGGTAAAGAAAAGGTGGTGCAGAACACATAGAGCATGTGCTCTTGCCTTATCTTGATACACCAAATTTGGTATTGATGCAACAATTTGAGCTGTACGGAAGACAGTAGAAATCAATGTTTTGGCCATCACAGGAATATTGGACAATTTTTCTAGCATTGCAGCCATCATCTCTAGAATAAGACCTGCATCTCCAACCTAGATAACATTTCAGAAAATCAGCACTAAATCCATCACAAGGATTTTTGGAAGTCGAAAAGATCATAGAAATCAAATTTACTGTGGTGTGCATCTATGGCATATGGTATGCATGCAAAAGCGAAAAGAAACTGCTGTGATCTTTATAAATGCATTATGTGTAAAAGTTAAAATGAAGGGACCTTGCCTATAAATGGGCATTTCCCTTGTTTGGAATCTGTAGTTACTGGTTTGACAGGTAACTTCAGCCTAGCTACCAACCTTTTGGTAGCTACATTGCCATGATATTAGGTACATCAAATCCCTTACCCTAAGGATACCAACTTATGGGGTTGATTATCAATAAGCATTAGTTCTTGTTGCCAAAAATAACGACTAGAGTCCTTCTGTCTTCTGTAGCTAATTCTGAGTAGCTTTGACACCAACTTGATGTGAAAAATAATTTTCTCAAAGGCGACTTAAGGAACAAGCTCTTATGATTGATTTACCACCAGGTTTTGAAAAGGAACTTGGATACAATAAAATATGTAGACTAAAGAAACCTCTCTATGGCCTCAAGAGAACTTGGTTCAAACTGTTTGAAAAAAATGTGACTAGTTATACATCCCTTCAGAGTTAGGTTGACCATACTATATTTTATAAACAATCTAAGAATAATAAGATCTCAATTTTGATTGTTGATGTAGATGATATTATTTTCATGTGTGATGATAGAGCAGGTCTAGTTGATCTCTAAGAAAGATCTTGGGAAATCGAGGACTTGGGAACATTAAAATATTTCTTAGAGTTGGAATTTGCAAGATCAAATAAAAGGTATCTTTGTAAATCAAAGAAAATATGTCCTTTGACTTATTTGAAAAACAGGAATGCTTGGCTACGAGCCCAATTTGAAATTACAAGCAACAAAAACGGAAGAAAAGGGGAAGAAATAAAGGACAAGAAATGACACCAGAGACATGCAGGAAGATTAATTTATTTGTCTCGAACACGTCCAAACAGTGTCCTTACTGTAAGTATGGCAAGTCAATTTATGCAGCGTCTAGATCAATTTATTTTGAACCTGCCTATAGAATCTTAAGAGATTTAAAAGGAGCTCTTGGAAAAGGAATTTTATTTTATTAAAAAACAACAATCACTTCCAAGTAGAAGTCTCAGCCCATAGAATTAATGAAGGAATATGGATTAAAAGAATACAAGAGGAATTGAAGTTCCCTTGAACTAAGCCTATTCAAATTTATTATGACAATAAAACTGTCATATCTATAGCTCATATCCAGTTCTATATGTTAAAACAAAACATATTGAAGTTTTTTTTTAATTTACTAAAGAAAAGATTGATGTTGGTGCTACATGTGTCGTTTATCTCCAGACAACAGAGTAAATTGCTAATGTACTAAGGGACTTTCAAAGAAGTAATTTGATAAATTGATTGATAAACTGACTATGGAAGACATTTTAAACCAGCTTGAGGGGGAGTGTTGGAATTTCTAGTCTTTATAATTGTGTAAATACAAGTTGTCAATATTCAGTCTTTATTATTTTCATTCTTTCCTTATATTGTAATAGGTCTTTCTCCGACATAAGAAGACGTATATGTTGAGGATATCTGGAGTCCTACATTGGCTAATTAAAGGGAAGATTATGGGTACATAAGTAAGGAACACTATCTTTATTGGTATGAGGTCTTTTGCAGAAACCAAAAGCAAAACTATAAGAGCTTATGCTCAGAGTGGACAAAATCATACCATTGTGGAAGCTAGTTGTTCCTATAAGTGGTATCAAAGTCATGCCCTTATCTTAATTTAGCTATGTCAATAGAATCCTCAAGTGTCGAACAAAAAAGTTGTGAGCCTCAAAGGTGTAGTTATAGTGACTTAAGTGTCGAACAAAGAAGTTATGAGCCTCAAAGGTATAGTCATGGTGAAGATTCATGGTAGAACACTATTGGACTAGCAATGTGCTCTAGAGAAGAGGAGTTGTCTAGATACTGCTATATGGATAGATATGACTGTTTAAAGGGAGACTCAATGGTATAATTTGTTCGATAGAAGGATTGTTGTCAATTGTTGGAGTCTCACGTTAACTAATTATAGGGAAGATCATGGGTATATAAGTAAGAGACACTATCTCCGTTATACAAAGCCTTTTGGGAAAACAAAAGGCAAAACCATGAGAACTTATACTCAAAGTGAAGAATATCATACTATTATGGAGGGTCATGGTTCCTCTCACTAAATTGCACCTATTTGAATAACATACTATTATTCTCCTCAATTTAAGAGAGACTAGATGAAATATTCAGGTCTTTTGGCCGTTTGATTTTATAAGCATTTGGTCAATGTTTGCCGAACATTTTGCAAAGGTCAGCTTTCCTTTGGCGTAGTTCATAAATTTTTGGCAGTATGAACCTACCCTTTTTCATCTGAACCAAAAATAGTATTAGTGACATAAAATTCCTTAAACTTCTCCTTTATTTACACTTGTCATTGGCTTCTTGATCTGCTTTGTAACATCATTGTGAAGCTGCAGATTATCTCCAGTTGTTTAAACCCCTTCTTCACGAAGAAAAGTACGCAAATGTAGCAATGAGTATCATAAGCCAATAGTTAGTCAACGCTGTCTTGTTAAAATTTAATTCTAATTCACGTCGACCACTTCCTTTGTGTGTCATTTGTTTTCTTACTAAATATTCCACAGGTCTCCACTTTTGTCTCTATACGGCTCCAAGTCCAATGTCCTCTCCTGCATCTTCTTTCTTCTTAAAAAATAAGGTTAAAGTTCAGTAGGAAGAGAACTGGTGTTGAACAAAGTTTCTAGTTTAGAACTCTCCTGCTGTTTTAGTGTCCGATAAAAACCCACTTTTCACATGGTTTGCTTGAACCGCTGGAAAGGCCATGGAAATTCTAAGCTTTCTTTACTAATTGCAGTACAGTCCATGTCCTGATTCCTTCCACCTTCACCGCCAATGAACCATAAAAACTTTAGTGTTAGAAATACAAACTTGGCTGCACTGATGCAGAGTTTACTTTTAGATAATGTAAGAAAATGTACCTAAGCATTTTGGGTGGCTGTCCATTTCCTTCCATTGGACGAAAATGTCAGCAAAGTAGATCACTGAATTCTTCAAATGAGGTTGTAAAACCAGGGTGAACCTACTTGGGACATTACTAGTCATTTAAACAACACACCCTCAGCCTTTTAAGGGTTCTTGTGTCCATGGAACATTGTTTGAAGGTCATATAGGCAAAGTCTTACAAAGAAAACGTGGGATGCTTCTATTTCAACTATATCACACTAATACAATTGAAGGGAATCTAGGACATACTTTACTGGCTATAAATCCAGCACCTTTCTTGATCCATGCAATCTTGCAAGGTGTGGGATGGGGTTTGCTAGATTCTCACAACTTTTGAGTTTTGCGGTCTATAATTACCTTATAAACCATGTCATTTATACCTTTTCCTCAAGAGGATGGTTCTTGTTAGGCATGAAAATGTTTTTGTGCTATGCCAGACAAAATGTTCACCTTCCTCCTTATAAGAAAATTGCTTTATTTTTAATGGCTTCCCTTTAAGATGCCATTCCATTCTCTGATTCTTATTGTATCATATCCTATTACCCAACAAGCATACGTTGGGCATCACTCATTTGACCTGTGTCCTGTTTGAACCTGTAGCAACTGGTAAGATCCTGAATTAGTTATAGGTAATGTTGGGGTCAATAATCTGTCCACTTTTGTTCACTCAGTCACTCTTTTTTTTTTTTTTTTTTT